ACAAAATAAAAAAAAAGATCATTCGAATTGGATAACTAGATGATTGGCAAATTTGATTTTTATTCACAAAATCAACAGAGCCTCGGAGGGACATTTTCCCAGCAAAGATCCTACGTATATGTTTGATCTTCATATATAAATACAAATTTTCTTAATTATTCTCGCATATTGCTAAAAGTCGGGTCCCAATGAATTGCACTTAGAGAGAATTAACTGTATAAACTACCTCTGCTTTAAGTACGTATTCTCTCCTTTTTGTAAAAAATTTCTACTATGCACCCCATATGATCACACCATCGGGCCCATAAAAAGTTTCTTATATAGAAAATGTAGCTTATTTTTATATAGTACAGTAGTTGATTCAAAAATCAATGTGCTTATAGGTGATGTGCTTGTATGAGTGTCGCTAAAGGAAATATACACATTTATATGAGAGTGAAAGTGCTTATATGAGTGTCGCTAAAGGAAAATATACACATTTATGAGAGTGAAAACCTGTAGTAAATCATTAAATCAAGTTCCAGGTTTTCACTCTCCCGCATTCATACGTATAGGCTATGTTTAAATGAGTGTTTCCTTTTAGCGACATACATATAGGAGGAGGTGGTGCTTATTTGGGAGTGTGACTGTATATAATATATATAAGAGTTTTGTACTTTTAATTATGAATTTTAATTCAATTTAGCTTTGATTTTGGAAATAATTTCGATTTGTTTGTTGCTAACGGTACGTACAGTACGTACCAATATCCAAAATTGTATTTAGAGCTAGAAAGGGTCGTAAGATGTACATAACTGATAACTGATAATAAAATTATACGTATAACGATAACGAATATTTTTTTTTGGATTTTTGAATTGTGCTAATCTGATTTACTTGGGATTATAAATACCATATTTCGCCATGTAAAGTACCCTCATTGATTTATACAAAGTCTATGACTTGTATATTTTGTAAAGGTATACTAAACAGAATTTTATAAACATGACATATAATATATGACCACTCTCTATGGCGAAATGTCTTGATTTTATTTCAATTTGCTTTAAATTCATGTGGAATTGCTTCAGCATTCTGTAACAATATCGGAACCATTTCAATTTGGTACAGTCGCTACTGAAAAGAAAGTCTTGAACATTGACAGACGTTCACCGAACGTCCAACATCAACCTATATGTTTGGACAATGTCCAAATATGTCCGTGTCCAAGTAATGTGCTCGGAAAGTGTTCGTGTACAACACTAGTGTCAAGTATTCAAGTATACACTTATTTCTTTTACACTTGGCAAATAACCTTCAAATTCGAACATTTTCAGAAATGATCACCATTAAGTTCGGAAACTTTCATGGGAATTAATAGTATAAATTGCCCTGTCTACTAATAAAAATAATTGCACCTTTAACATTCTGCATTTTCCTGCTAAACAAGTTCTTAATTAAGGGATTAAACATCGAAATCTTGAAGTAATGGAAGTAGATTCAGAAACACACGCTAGGCGTGAAAGACGGCAAGAATTGAGAATTGCTAACTTAGCGGCATGGAGACAAGGAAAACCCGGTACAAGTTAAAAGTTACTTTTATATGTTGGTCGGATTCTATATCATAACTGGATATTAAAATAAGATTTACTTTACAAGATTCTTCGGCGTTTAAAAACTTAGATTCCAATATAAAAAAGAATACTGGCTTCATCAAAAAATGCAAAGCTCAATTGTCAGCCGAATATCAACAACAATTATTGAAAGATGTTAAGACCTTGACTTTAGAAAAATATATATCCGAAGTTGTTGTCGCTGTAGTCGAGGGTGTACAAAAATGCAAGGCTTCAGCCGATGTCTGGGCTGCTGTCGAAGTGAGAATTGGTTTTGATTAATCAATATTTAAATTATTATTGTTAGTTAAATGATCTCTTAATAATATGCATTTTACATATTAATTATTTTAAAGGTGATTTCAGCATTGCATCAACGTTTTCCGGACACATTTACTCCATTTTTAACACATACGTTGGCTCGATCCCTTGCACCTCCTAACAAGCAACTTGTAGTCCTCAATACCGATCAACGTGAAAGAGAGGAAAGTTCTCGAATTTTAAAACAACGTGTTTTGCTCAGAATTGCAGGTGAATTATGGTTAATAGGTGTTCTTAGAAATGTTGAAGATGGTGTTGCTGCATTGAATAGTGGAGGTGCTGCAGTAGGAGAGGGTGGCGTAAATGGTGTCAAAGATAATGTTGCTGGGTTCGTCAGTAGCCCGATCAAAGAAATGAAAGAATTCAAAGAAACAAGAACCTCCGGTGAAGGGTTCATGTATACTGTGTTGAAAGATTTGGTTTGTCGTAAACATCCATTTGCATAATGATTTCCGTGCAGATAACATCCGTGTTGATCCAGGCGATGTTGAACAAGTGTCTGTTTACTTAAATATGAATAGTTATCTCATGACAACAAACATGTAAACCTTCCGCTTGCTGTGTCTTTTATCAAATATTTTGGCACGGAAATGATCGGTACACGCAGAAATCTCCGTGAAGTCGGTACTGCTGCCCCTATCAATGACGAGAACAATACTGCCAGTGATGATCGCGACATTGGCCTTGATAACGAAAATGAGTTCACAGACTCGGATAGCGAACCAATTGTTAGCGTTTCTCAGCGAGCTCTTTTTAAAAATTTGTTGATCGAATATTTTAAAGGTGTGGAAACTCGATTGATTAAGGAACATCAGGTTCGTTAAACATGTGCTTGTATATTATTGACAACATTTCCGTTATACATGCTCACATTGATATTCTATTTATAAATAAATGTAGAAAATTAAGGCGTTGGATCGTAATAATCACGAATCCTATATCACTCGTGGTGAAATTCCTGAAGAGACGAAACAGAATTACGAAAAAGCAGTGAAAGCTTTTGAAAAATTTTTGCAAAACGCCCAAATGTAAAATTATTTATTTTAATTAATTCATAACGTAAAATATTTGCAATGTAATTCTATTTAGTGATTTCTCTTTATCTTTCTATTTAAAATAGTTTGTCTGATTCTTTAGAGATCGAAATGCCTGACTTACCAGAGGATGAGGGAACAACAAAAATTGGGGGTACCATCATTCGTGATGGTACATTATTCAATGAAAAAGAGGTATAATTTTAAACCAGACACCAAAAATTAAATTAATGATTATCATATGATTTGTGGCAACCTTTGTTTATGATTATAGGAAAATCTAACAAATAGCATCTGGGAAGATGAAGATGCACGAAGTTTCTATGAATCTCTCATTGATCTGAAAACGCTTGTGCCTGGTGTACTTCTTGAAGCCAAAACTGGTAAAAAAGATGATGCTGATGTAGACAAGGATGATCATACTTCTGTTGGACAAGATAAGGACGATAAGGATGATAAAGATGATAAAGAGGATGATGACAAATTAAGCGAGGATAATCAATCTGATGACAACAAAAATAAAGCTACCCAAGATACTATTGTTGAGACGACAGATAAGATTGGACTTTGCAACGAAGACCAAGAAGATAAAGCAGAATTAGATGGAGAAAAAATAAATATTCAAGCTGACATTGACTCACCAACTATCAAAAAGGATAATGAGACAAGCAATAAAAGCGGTACTTCAGCTCAGCTCGACTCTCTTTTGTCTCGTCTCCCAAATATGGTTAATCGCGACCTCATTGATCGAGCTGCCGTGGACTTTTGCTATTTAAACTCCAAAGCATCTAGAAAAAAGTTAATAAAAGTAAGTGAATAACAATAATTTGAGAATTTTAAAAAGACTTTCCACTAAATTTACTGTTTTGGATTCATTAATAGACATTGGTAGGAGTCCCTCGCGCAAGGCTTGACCTTTTACCTTATTATTCTCGCTTGGTTGCCACACTAAATCCTCATTACCCAGACATTACCACGGCAGTTTTGCAAGCTGTAAGTTACTTGCTTATTAGAATTTCTATTGAATCTTTTTTCTTTTTTGTTTTTTTTTTTTTTTTTAACGTTTACTTTCTTATGGTTAGTTGGAAGATGAATTCAAAACTTTGCAGAAAAAGAAGACGCTGGACTTTTTAGAAACCAAAATCAAAGTGAGCTTATTGTTGTTGCTATGTAATGATATAGTTTATCATAAATTGTGACATTAAACTGCCGAGTTTGGTCAAAGGAAATTTAGCATCTTAATGTCTCACTATCTATGCTTTGCATAATTAAAATGGCTTGAGAATTTTATTAAGCTTTGACTTTTGTTTTAAAGAATTACATATATCTTATCACATACATTTTAATTGTGCCTTTTATGTAGAACATCAGATTCCTTTCCGAACTCACCAAATTTCGGATCACACCCCAACATGTAATCTTTCACTGTCTCAAAGTAGTTATCGATGATTTTTCGAATCAAAATATAGATATTGCATGTAATTTATTGGAGACTTGTGGGAGATTCTTATTCAAAAGTCCTGAAACAAATATTCGGATGGGGAATATGGTATTTATTTTATTAACTAAAATCAGTTATTTCTCTAAAATCAGTTATTTCATGATCTATGTAACTAATTCAAAATTACTGTAAAATAGTTGGATATAATGATGCGAAAGAAGAGTGTTCAGCATTTAGATAATCGTCAGCTTCTGATGATAGAAAATGCATACTATCAGGTAAGATGGTTCTACTGATAACTTTTAAAGTTCTACTCTATTTTATTTTGCATTTTAAAACCCTCATTAATTTGAGCATAGTGCAATCCACCTGATAAAGCAGCAACTGTCAAGAAAGAACGATCTGTTATGGAACAGTATATTCGGAAATTAATTTATTCTGATCTCAATAAAAAGACTGTAGAGAAAGTATTAAAGTTGTTACGCAAATTGAACTGGGATGATAAAGAGGTATAAATTATTAACAAATATATTCTCAGTGGACGTTGTTGCAAACGGAATTCAATATTAAAAATTCGCGTCATAGGTGTATAAAGTTCTCGAAAAATGTTTCTCCAAAATTTGGAAAATAAAATACAGTAATATACATTTAATGGCAATTTTAGCCTCTGGGTTGCACCGCTATCATTCTGATTTTGGCGTCGCATTAGTTGATAGAGTTATTGAAGATATTAGAATCGAACTTGAGGTAAGCAAAATCCTATTCCGTATAAATGAACGCTAACATAAATCACTATTTTTAATTAACTATATTTGATTTATCTAGCAAAACATTTTCAAACACAATCAGCGCCGTATTGCAACTGTGAAATATATTGGTGAACTTTATAATTATCGAATGGTTGATTCGCCTGTCATATTTGATACATTATACACCATTGTTACCTTGGGACACGGTAAGTAATTATTTTATTTACGCTAACAATTATTTTGTCAGATTGTGTGTTAACATATTTTATAAACAGAATTTGGCCGACCTTCTCCTACC